GTTCGGTCGGTCAACCGAATTTTTACCAAAAAATAAATAAATTATAATATTATAAATTTCTATATTAATATTATATTATAATATAATATTAATATAATATAATATATAAATTTATATAAATATATAATATAATATATAAATTTATAATATAATATTAATATATAAATTTATAATATATAATATGATATTATATATGTATATATATTATTCGGTCGGTTTGGCTAATTCGGATATTTTGATGTCCGAAACCGAAACCGACCGAAATAACCGAAAATTAATTTGACTAAAACCGAAAACCGACCGAGTCGAATAAAAACCGAACCGAATTTTTTGGTTCGGTCGGTTTCGGTCGGTTTTTTCGGTTTTAGTCGAATTATGCACACCCCTAGATGTGATGCATACTTTTTGGTCAATTTAAAAGTTTTCAATTGATTGAGGGCCAATTAGTTAAGCATCCTATAGCATCTAGGACGAATATGACCAAGAACACCACAATAATGACAAGTAGGAATAAAATTTTTCACAAAACGTTTACGGTGTTCTTTCACAGAAACCTGATCAACCTTACCATCAGAGTTGGAACCTTCTTTCACAAAAGTTAGAGAGGACTTACTCAGAGACATTATTGGTTCACCCACTTTACCTTTCAGTTTATGATTGGAGGAGTTCTTACTCTGGTCTGAACACGCAATCTGATGACTCAACCTTTGAACTTCAGCAAATGAGGACTTTGGCTTATTGATCATTTTGACAATCTCCTCACTCTTGCTGAGCTTTTGTTCCAAGGTTGAACAATGGCTACGAAGAGTCACATGTTCTTCCATCACACGACCGAGTTCTTGTTTGAGGACCGCAATCTCAGAATCCCTTTCATCTATAGTTTTCTGCAATGAAAACATTTCATTACGTAGAGACTCAATGACAAAATCGTTTTCATCACATACCTGCTTGGACAACTTCTTCTCGTGTTCGAACATCGTGATTTTGGCAACTAATTCATCCAGCTTATGTTCCTCATTGCTGGTACGAACATCAGATCTGGTCAGCTTATCATTCAATTCTCCATTCATCACGTGAGTTTTCTGAAGTTCATCCTTCAAGTAGGCGATCTCCTTCTCATGCTCTGCAGAACGATGTTGGAACACCTCGATTTGAGCTTGTAGCTTTTTCACTAGTTTTCCAGCTTTGATGCTCGTCGCTAATGCAAGCTTATGGGTTTCCATGTCTACTTCAAAAGAACCATCTCCAGAATCATCAGAATCACTATGAGAATTATACGTGTAAGAACACATACCTGAATCTGCATCACAAGGCTTTTGAGAGGCTGTATAGCACGTGAAGTTATTGGGAGAAGTGATGACAAAGTTGTTCGTGTGTTG